GGAAAAGCGGGTTAGGATAAGCCTATCCTTATAAATAAAAATATGCATAAAATGCATAGGTCAATTACGAGTAGAACGGATACCCTATTGCCTATTTTGGCTTAGCGGTTCCGAAGATATCCGCGATACGAGAATAGGTGGGGCATAGAACATTCTGGTCAAATCCACTACTCATGCCAGAACCCATAGTCTTACGTCAACCATCACGCCACAATCAGACCACCTACTAAGTTAGGAAGATATACTATAGATAGAGCTTTTCAAGCACTATAGAATGTGCTAGAAAGCTGACTAATTGGTCTACTAGTAGGCGAGCAATGGTCTATAAAAGACGAAGGATTTCCCTGGGAGTAGTAGACAGAACAAGCAAGTTAGTAAGTATCTTTTGCAACGCTATTCTTTCAATATATTATTCAGCCCCTTATATGCTCGTTATAAATTCCGGACGAAATCCTACCCTATACTCCTTCGACCGATCTTTCCGCTTACGTCATCGATTACCCGATTCTGCGCTTATTGCTCATACCTTCTTACAATAAGTAACTCGTCTAGGTAAGATTACTAGACCACTAAACTTATATACGTTACCTTTAAAATAGTCCGTTATCGGGCTCCCTAGTATAAGCTATATACCTAAAACTTATATAACTTAATATAGCCTATAAAATTAAAGAAGGATTATCCTACCTTTATATAAGTATAAGAATAGACCTAAGGTAGATAAAGATAGAGGTACGTTAAGCTATAAATTATAATATTAAGAGATAGCGTGCGTCGCGATTATAGTTATAGATTATAGGCCTAATACTAATAGAACTTTTATTAAAGGACGATCTATTACTATAATACTAATTAAGGAGGCTTTACTAGCTAACGCTAAAGTAAGCTAGTATCCTATTAATAGTTATCTTAGGCGTACTAAGGGACTTTTAATAAAGCTAATAGAGGTAATAAAAGGTTAGCTAGCCTAATCTCTATATATATCTATATATAGTATACCTAGTAAAAGGTAAGGTAGACTTTACTATATTATTAAGTCCTAGAATAACGGATAATATTATAGCGGAAGCCCGTTAGTCGTCGCGGGCATACGGTAACTAAGTTATTAGTAGGATCTAAGGATCTAGCGGGTAGCCGTAATCGCGTTAAGCTATCGTAAGAGGATAGAGTTAAGAGTCTATCTATATCGGCTAGTAAAGGCCCCCTTCGATTTAAGGCGTTAAAATAATAAAAGGAGCCTTTTCCCTTCCCCTAAGCTAAGTTAAAGGACTAAAGGGACTAAAAATATCGCTAATAAAGCGGATATATAGAACCTAGGGGTATTAGAACTTAGCTAAATATATAGAGTAAGAGTTAAGGAGGTCGTATAAGCGGAGTAGAGTTAGATAAAGGAGGGGGCTATATATTAACTATAGCCGGCCGATAGGGAGGGATAATAGTAAGAGAGAGAGAGAGAGGAAGAAAAGGAGAATCGAGTAAAGGGGGGGAGGGAGTATAGGTATTCTTATAGCAATCCCGTATATAGCGACGGGCTAAAAGGGGAAGGGCTTGCCTAAAGCGGAAGGCGGTGGGGGGCGGCGGGGAATTTGCAACGACCGACTTTATAGTAATATAAGCTATCTACGCGCATAACCGCCTCGGTAGACAGAGCCCTCGTTGAATTCAAGCATAAAATACATAGTGTAGTATATAGGCCGTTTAATCCGCGCTTGCTAATAAAGCGGCATTTAACGTGGCCAGAATCCGCCTGATGACATCAGTTTAACATCCTCTATCCGTGTTCCTAAGATAATTAGATGTTGGAATTGCAACACAACTTGATCAAGGTATGGGTTGGGTGGGATCCTACAAGTGGCAGGTCTTCTGGCGTTCGATATGTTAGTATTATTCCATTGCTCTTCTTTTTGGCTCTTTGACGCCTCTGGTGTCATGATTGCAAAGGGCTTTGTATCATAGACTCCCGGAACGCTGTCAGTGAAGGGCGAAACTTAGATGTGAAAGTTCCAGAACCATCTTGCTTAAGCGAAACCATGTCTCTAAGATATGTTGATTCTTCTCATCGGGACTTATCCATGTCCAATACACGAAAGGACCAAAAGTTGAGATTAGCTGCCTTCGAGAATAATGCTGCGACCTCGTTTCCTACACCTTATTCGCTGCTCCGCTTTTAACACTCAAAGAAGGCCGTTATTTTGTTAGATCTGGTCACGATTTTGCCAAATTTGACACTCAGTCATGGGTACGCCAAATGAGGAAGCGTTCAAGGACCAAGTTTCGCTTTTCGAGAACAAGAGTAGTACTTGGCGACTATCTCAAATCGGTCGATACGGCCAGAATTTCTGGCTTCTAGAGTGTAAAAAGGCATTCAGGGCAGGGTTTGACCAGCATGCTCGTTTCAGTACGGCCAAGTCTCCAGTTGAGGTCTCCAGTTGAGGTCTCCAGTTGAGCGTGTACGTCAACTACCTAGTCGACTGTAGGAGTCGAGATAGAAACAGGTCCGAAAGCAGGTTCGAATTCCGATTGAGCTTTCGGGGCCGCAGGCTTCGCGGTCACGGATGCCTTCGCCCCCTTGGGAGTCGGTGTGAGGCTGCAGTGCCGGACATTGCCGAGAGACAGCCATGTATCCAATCCAGAAAACCGAGGGCTCGTAGGCGACGGCTTGGTACTTCGTTACTTTCGGTTCTCCCTGGCGACCGCATTGAAAATCTCGTATAACCTGCCCCGTGCCATATCAGAAGGAGTGGGAAGCGGGTTACTTTTGGGCATGAAGGTTCTAAGAGTCGGTCCAGTGAGTAAGTCTTGAATGTCCATTTGTGACTGAACCGTGCAAAAGTACAGAGAAATGGGAAATTTGGGAAATCCTATCTGGTGTCTGGTGTTGTTGACATTATCGGCCGCGAAAACATAGACAGGCCCGACAGGCCCGCGGAGGTCAGGATCATGACAAGTGCACGCGGGCATAATCAAGGAATGCCGGAGAGGAAGCGGGGCCTCGACGACTTTTAAAGGATGGAGAACATTGATAACGCGGAGTTTCACGATTAATTGGATGTCTCACTCGCCCCGATCCCTGGTGTTGGTGCGTACCGGAGAGCAGGTCCAGGCCGACGATCCATCGCCTTTCATGCCGCGAAGACATTCCGCTTTCGGCGAGCTATGTTCGACAACAAACATGAGCCGAATAACAGGGTTCATAGTCTTTCATGTTAATGAAAGCGGACCGGGGGATGTGCCGCGGTGTCGAAGGATATAAACGTGATTTTGGCTGCACGGCGATGAAAAATGAAGCCTCAACCTGCCAGCAAAGAAAGGTCTAGATTGAAGGTAGAGATGAAAAAGTCCGCGATGGGTGTGTGTAGCCTGTAAAACTGACCTGCGGCGGGGATAAGCGATGCAGACCATAGAGCGGCATTGTCCGTCATGGCAGTGATGACAGAATAGATGTGTTCGTGATGGTCAATGCGGTGCGTGTGCGAGTTGGACCGCTGTAACATTAGATACATGCCTTGTAAAGCAGTCCTCTGATTACACTTGAGAATTAAGTCCGGCCATGGCATTTGTCTGAATTTGATGATGAGCAAGACAGCAAGTAAGAGAGCCCTTGGCTGGTGTACATGTATTAATTGAGATGTAAAACTCTCAAGGATTGTTGTGCCTTTGTGCGAGTGAGCACGGCAGGATGAAGGACAGCTAGATTGGCGGGAACGTTTATCACGCGATGCTTCATTATAGAACCATCAACTCGCTCATATACAGCTCCGTTCAACTGCGTCAACAGATAATTGAGGCCATCACCAGCTCTCCGAGGGCTACCCTACACCTCGGAGGAGACCGGTAGATGAGACCCCCTACATTCAACCGGGTTGGAAGAAATTATTTCCAGAGATGAACATGTCTCGGCGTCCCCCGTCGCGTGCAGAATCTCGAGACCCATGCGAGACTGGCCCATTTGATCCTCCCATTGACTGCCGATAGTCCGAGCACTGGAAACAATGCAAAGAGATGAACCAGTGCCGCCCTCGACCACGCCCTCCGTACAGGCTGCCGTGGACCCTTGCAAAGAGCGACCCTCGGCTCGACCATGCCTTGGAGAAATCCAATAGCGCCACGAATAGACACTGCTGCGCTGGCTAGATTGCCGGGCGCCCAGCTGAGCATCGTGCCGGACGCGAGGGCAAAATCCCCTCAAATCACGTCCGTGAGCTTGGATGGGAGCAACCAACATGAAGCAGAGCCATCATGCAGGGAATTACGCTGTCTCAGTGTTTCCCTGGGCATTGTAAAAAAAGAAACATCATGTCGACAACAAAAGAGGCGCGTCATGGGCCTGCAATCGCATCTGCCACTCACACCATTGCACCGGGCCGGTAACAATGATTCGGCAAGGGACGCGCTGTCGAGCCTGGTCTCGCGATATTTTAATGGACAAAGGCCCAGCGGCCCGCGACGAATGTTTCTCTCACCCTCTTTCACTGTTGTGTCTCAACCCCCTCGGCAGGACGAGAGGGCATGGAATCCAGCCCGCGGCCCGGCGTCTCGCTCGTCTAGCTGGCCCGAATTCCAGAGCCGCCGGCTGAGCATGGGCGGCTGAAGCATGTGTGCGTCGATGGTGTTGACTTGCTAGAGCGCGGCAGAGGTCTCGTCTGGATTCAACCATGCCGCCGCTCCACGATGCCCTCGCGCCGCTCGTCGATGTCTCAGGCCGGCCTTGATGCATACGCCGACGTACACACACACTATGCGGTGCTTGTATGGAAAACAGGACCCGCTGGATGATGGGCGCCGCGTCGTGAAGGCACCCGTCGAGCTGTATAAAGCAGGCCATCTCTTCCCTCAATGCTGAAGCTTTTTTTGTTCCTCATCACACCAGCCTTCTCTCGTCTTCGCCTGCCTTTTGCTCAGGAGCTCCGACTCTAGTCATTCTTTTCCAGTCTTTTCACCCCAGTCACTCATTCGGATCACTCCAAGCTCCCCAACCCCCCCCTTCTCCATCCATCAAAATGCGTTTCTCCACCATCATCGCTCTCGGCGCTTGCCAAGCCGGTAACGCCCTCGCCGGATACTCGTCGACGAGCAAGGCCTACAAGCCGAGGCCGACGGAGCACGCTGGCAACCCCACACCTCACAGAATCGGCGACTTCAAGTATCATGGCTGCGTCCAGCTGTCTGACTCCTTCGAAAAGGTCTCCACCAACGACAAGATGAGCCTCGACTTCTGCGCCGCCAGCTGCCCTTCGCGCGTCTTTGGTGTCTATAGCAAGTGAGTTGCCTCGGCCGGTACCGACTCGGGACGTGAAGGGGAAGCTGACAATGGACCTCTAGGGACTGCTATTGTGGCAAGGAGGTGTCCAGGTCCGACAAGGTGGCCGACAACATGTGCGACTACTCCTGCCCGGGAGCCTCCGGACAGAGGTGCGGAGGTTACGGCCTCCTCACCGTCTACAAGCGTCACGGCCACAGGGGCAACACCAAGACCATCACCTCGACCAACACAGTCACGCCGGGCCAGACCATCACCCGGACCGTGACGCGCACCACGACCGGCACCATCACCGCTTGCCCGCACAACGTTGTCCACTGCCCGATCGGCTCCAAGACCACCGGCATTGTTGTCAAGACGACTGCCTTCTGCCCCATCCCGGCCTGGCACGAGAAGAAGGTCGTCTGCTACGGCGACTACTGCGCCCCTGAGCACCACTGCCCCGGCTGCGAGCGCTATCGCGTCGTCTGCGAGGCCGACTACTGCCACCTCGAGATCTCCAAGACCGAGGAGCACCACAGGCTTGTGCTGTGCAAGGGCGCCGAGTGCCACTACCCCCAGTGCCAGGGCGCCGAGTGCAACCGCAAGATTGTCTGCTACGACGGCCACTGCGCCTACGAGAAGTGCTACGGCGACGAGTGCAAGAAGAACTTTGTCTGCCGCGGCGAGCAGTGCAAGCACGAGCAGTGCTACGGCGCCGACTGCCACAAGAAGCTCCTGTGCCAGGGCGAGCAGTGCAAGCCCCAGCCTCACTGCGGTGCCTCGTGCCCGGCCCCTCCCCGTCCCGGCACCCCTGTCAAGCCCACCCTCGGTCCCTATGGCTCCGGCAGCAGGTTCGGCCACGACGGTAAGGGACACAACGGCCACTGCCACGGCGGAAAGTTTGGCCCCAACGGTGTCTGCCTCGGCCACAATGGCAACGGACCTTACGGCCCCGGTGCTAACGGCAATGGCCCCAACGGCAACGGACCTTACGGCCCTGGTGCGAACGGCAACTGCCCCGGCGCAAAGTTTGACCACAACGGTGTCTGCCTCGGCCACCATGGCAACGGTGCCAACGGCAACGGCCCCTACGGCCCCGGTGGTAACGGCAACGGCCCCTACGGCCCCGGTGGTAACGGCAATGGCCCCAATGGCAACAGTGCCAACGGCAACGGCCCCTACGGAAACGGTGCCAACTGCCCAGGTGGAAAGGTCGGTCCCAATGGCGGCTGCACTGGTGCCCAGCCTGGCTCCGGTCTCGAGGCCCCTGGCGCCCAGCCCACGAACGGCGCGGGTGACTACCCTGTCCAGGTCGCTGGCTCCACCAGGACCACGGCTGCCTTCAACCTTCTCGGCGCTGCTGCCGGTCTGGCCTTTATCTTGTAAATGGCAATGAAATGAGTGGAAAGGGGGAACGGGGAGTGAATCAGAGAGTTGGCGTTTGCGATTTGGTGATGGAGTGTTTGGGTTAATGTTTCGGTGTGCGAGTGGAGCGAGCTTGGGGTTGAGATTTTATGAACACATACATATGCTTAGGAGCCGAATGAACAAAGGAGAATTTTGACTGAGAAGATGCTCGATCTGTTCACGCTGCGCTTTCACCGCCCTGCTCGCTGCCCACCGTCTAAAGAATCTACCCAGAGCGAGGAGCATGTAATTCTCCACCAAGAGGGATTTCACGCCAAATATTTGAATCGTAAGCGCTTCATGCTCAAATTGCTCAACCAAGCACATGTAAATGACCAGATCCCTTTTCGTTAAGCAGTGGAGCGGCGAGGCGGGATGACTTGACCAACTTGCGGCCCAGCCGGCCGGTGGTGGCGCTGGACTCTCAGTACTCTGTAAGAAATAATGGAACAAAAAGAAGGAAACACCGGAAAAGAAAAGAATGGCAGGGGGCAAACTGCGAGACAGGGGGACGATGCGAGAAGGATCCATCATCCTGGTAAGCACAGCGCTTGGGTGAGCTGCAGAGACACCACGGCCTTGGTTTTTTGTCTCGCGCAGACTGTTTGCCAAGGTGAGACAAATGAGCTTCTTTCTTGCGGCGTTCAATCTGCATGTTGCATGTAGAAGGCGGTAATCAACCAATAGCCTGGTGCTGGCTTCCCCAAGACAAGGTAATGGTTCATGCTCTTCTCAGCCGGCCTGGTGCGGAGGCTATGTGCGTGAAGGCGGGGAGGCAGCGCATGTTATGCATCTGATACGGAGCAAGCCAATCGATGGATTATGGCGAGGTTTGGTTTGGTGGAGGGCCCGCCGAAGAGAGAGTCCCGGAGACGCCTCGATGGCCAGACAGGCGAGGAGACGGATGATATTACAAGGGAGACCCAGCGTGGCGGGACCTTGCCAGGGTTTGTGCAACGGCCTTCCCGAAGATGAGGGTCCGTCGCCACCGCACTGGTGGAGGCGGCTGCAGGCGGTCGCAGGGCAGCCACTGCGAAGAAGACGATGCATGGATCGTCGGGGAATCTAGGGCAGGCCTTACATGTCTGAACTGACTGCGGAGTCTGCACGCTGGCGGCTCCCTCTCAAGTGAAGTTGAGAAAAAAAGGTTACGGATTCTTGTCGGGAACTGTACTGATAGGAAAATGGGAGGGTTTACACGAGGACAGCTCGATCGAGGCACATGGAATAAGGCATCGCGGGACGGGACGAGACTAGACGACTGCGTATAGCTTTCAGGCTGGACGATGATGATGATGATGGTGATGATGATGATGATGATAATCGAGAGAATTTATGGCTTCAAAGACTGGCCACGATACGCCCTGTATCCTTGCCCGGAGGAGGGGGGGGGAGGAGGGGAAGCAGGGCAGTTGGTCAGGCTGAACAGGAGGCCGAGCTAGCAGCTTTATCTATGCTTGCATGTCCTACGATTTTCGGACTGACTGACTGCAAGTGTCCCATCTCTGTTGGCAGGGATTAATCTAGCTCGGAGGGCCGTCCATCTGAGACAGCCTCCAATGAATGGGTGCATGTCTGTCATGCTGCTGCTAGCCGCTCGGCCAAGGAGTTCACGGCCGGCCGGCCGGGGGCTTCCGCGTCTAGTCCGAAGATGGGTGCCAAGACGAGACGGTCCATGATGCGTGAGCTGCTTGCTACCCTTGTTTGGATAGGGGCGCCAAGAGGAGAGAGAGGTGTGGAGGTGGCGAGACGGCAGGCGAGTGCCTTGCAGCTTTTCCATTTACATGCATCTGGGTAGACTTGCTCTTGCCTTGCTCTTGACCTGCTCTTGACAAGCCGTCCACGTCGGCCATGGAGGAAGCACGTGGTGATGAAGAGGGACACGAGCTGGGTGAGCACGAGAGAGAAAACGAGAGCAAGAAGGAGGCTTTTCAAGGAACGGGGGAGCAGTGCCGGAGAAGAGGGACATGCAGCTTAGGTGGCGCAGCGGAGGAAGCCGAGGGTTCAGCCCGCGTTACAGCCGAAACAAGCAAGTGTAGGAAATAGAGCAGAGGGGAAAAAGAAAACAGGGTTGAGAAAAAGAAATTGGCGTCTTCAAGGTTCAGGCGGCGGCCCCCACGATCATCGGCCTCTACGGGGCTTCCCCACATAGTATGTCGATCCGGGCATCCGGGGGCCCCCGTATACCCATACCCCCGCCAAGCCCCTATAGTTGGGCCAATAGCGGGCGGGCTGAATGGTGAAAATGCGTGGGCAGTGGACGCAGTGGACGCAGTGGACAGAGGGGGCCGCTGCAGGCGCACTAAACGGGGTTTTTGGGCAGCTCCATCCGCCAACGCCATGCCGCCGACATTGGACACATGGACACATGGGCCTTGGTTGCCTTGGCTGAGCCCTACCGTGACGATATGATGCAATGTCCTGTGCAGGGTGACTTGGGCTGTGCAGGTGCCCGGGTCCTTGGAAGCGGTGCCCAGATGGTGGGCGTATCCACTATCCAGTGATCCACCAGGGTAATACTAATAGTAATAGTCCAATACGCATATCATGTATTATTTAGGTACGAGACGAATCCTCCAACCATCCTTCCTTCTCTGCCCCTGACACGTACCCGTATCTGTAGCAGGCACTCACTCATGGCCAGGCATCGGCCCCTTGATTAATCAACATCCGTTAGCCCGGAGCCCGGCCTTTCATCTCCTCCGGGGCGCCCGCCAACGTCGTCCAGTGACTCCAGTGAGTCCAGTCCAACCCCACGTTATTCTTGCTTGACTCGGGCCCCGTTTCTTGCCCTTGGCCCTCGATCCGACGACAAGAAACTCAGACGAGACGAGACGAGACGAGACGAGACGAGACGAGAAGCCTTCCGTCGACCGCCTCGACTCCCCTTGTCCCCGCTGCCGTCGACGCCCCCCCTCCTCCTCCTCCTCCTCCACCTCTCCGCTCCGCCAACGCCGACTTGTCTCGCCTCCCGCGTCGTCGGCCCAGCCAATCCCTCTGCCAGGGTCCGTCTGCTCCGGCCCTCTCGGACCCACCGTTGCCCTCGGCCGGCGCCGGCTGCATGTCTGCTTCCCGGCTCGCAGAGACCCGTCATGAACAATGGCCTCGAGGCGGTGCCCCATCGCCGACACCCGGATCCCTCGTCGCCCTCGTCGAGCGCTGACGACATTGACGTGGCCACGGTAGAGGATGCGGCCATTATCCAGAGCATCGAGCAGGGCCATTACGCCGACGTCGACCAAGATACATACAGCCTCACCGACAGCATCCGCCAGCACGTCGTTGACGGCCACCTACGGTACCATGCCTACCACGCCGGCATGTACAACTTCCCCAACGACGAGACGGAGCAGTACCGCGACGACCTCAAGCACAGCCTGACCATCCACCTATGCGATGGCAACTACTTTTACGCTCCCTGCCACGAGAGGCTCGAGCGCGGCGCCCACGTGCTCGATCTGGGTGAGTCTTACAAGTCATGCGCTCCAGGCACCAAGACTGACTTGGATTCGCCCATCTTCTCTTCCCTTGTCTAGGCACCGGCACCGGAAAGTGGTGCATGGAAAGTAAGCGCGAACTCTCCTCCGTTGCTCCCTACACATGGCTGACACTGTCCCTTATTGAATGGCAGTGGCCGACTTTTACCCAAAATCCCGCTTCCATGGGATGGACCTGTCTCCCATTCAACCGGACTGGGTTCCGGAAAACGTAGAGTTCTTTGTCGACGACATTGAGCACGAGAACGGATGGACTTATGCAGAAAATAGCTTCGACTACATCCACGTACGCCACACCATACACTCCATCAAGGACCGCCCCCAGATGTGGAAGCGTATATACCAGTAGGTACTCCCCCCTTGACCCTTTTACGACTGACGACCCATCCTGACATGACCTCGCCAAAAGCCACTTGAAGCCGGGCGGGTACGTCGAGGTCCAGGAGTTTCACTACGTTTCTGCCTGCGACGACGGATCGTGCGATGGCCCCTATGCTTGGCGCGACTTTTTGAAATATCTCGAGGCCGGCCTGGCTGCCCTTGGTTCCCAGCTCAACAGTGTCCAGTACGCCGAGGACGAGCTGCTCGCTGCCGGCTTCACAGACTTGCGCTACCAGGATCTCAAGTGTCCCGTCGGGCCGTGGCCAAAGAAGCTGCGCCTGCAGGAGTGCGGCCACATCCTGCGCGACGTCATCATGTGGGGGCTAGTTGGCCTCTCGAAGCGGCCCTTCCGGGACGGCCTGGGCTGGACAGACCTGCAGATTGAAATGTTCCTCGTCAATGTTCGCAAGGATCTTTCGCGGCAGGTCGGCAGCTTGCCCCGGTTCCACTCCTATTTCCCCTTTCGTAGCATCTCTGGCCGCAAGCCGCCGTAGGAACTTCGGAGAGGAGAAGGAGGCGCAAGTTTGGGGAATCCGGATGATAAGCACAACAGCACACCAGCGACTGTTGGCATAGCTGACTCGCTGTACACAGCCTTGTTACGAGTAGTAGTGTGTATAATCAGTACATGTGTTTCTGGGACTGGGGGTCGAACGATTGAGGGACACTTGGGAGTCTGGGTCTGGCCAAATCCAGGAGTAGAGCTGACGTGGGAAAAAGTGCAATGGGCTGGCTGATTCAAGGCCAAAGCCCATGACGAGAAGGTTGGGTCAAACAAGCGAGGAGAGAAAAGTCAGAGGCCTGGAAGTGACATGGGTGTCTGCCTGAAGGCCTCGACCCCCATGGGCGGTGCCATGAATAAACTTACCAAGACGCTCGCCCAACTTCACGCGTCCACTGTGAGGAAGCAGAAATCTAAACGCGTAAGAAGCAAAGTAAATAAACCAAGGGCAAAAAAGCCTCTATCGACAGAGGGCGCAAAAAGAGTCAATGCATGCAAGGCATTGTTTGGAGCAAAAAGGCAAAAGAGAAAAAAGGACGTCAGGTGGCGCAGATTCTCGGGGGTCATCGGCAAACGGCTACTGGCTGGGGAAAGGCCCGACGGGTGTTGGGATGGACAGAGGCTTGGAAGTTTGAAAAGGAGGCTGCGTCCAAGGTTTGCCTGCTTGGTTGGTGATTTATGCACGACAATCCGACGTCGGCTCTTTTTTTAGGCACGAGCGAAAACTCGCTTGTCCCACTCGTCGGCCAATACGAGGGATTTTGGGGTTGTTTTCTGGTGGAAAATGAGGCTCTTATGTTTCCTTTTGCCTTGCGTGGGTGAGCCGAAGTCTAAGTCGACGTCAATTGTCAGCATCAGCAGACTCGACGATGCCGCAGTAAACACACCTTCCATAAAAAGACCCAGCAGAATGGAGAAACCGTAGACCGTCAAACAGGCTTCATGCCTGTGACTAAAGAGGAAAAGTGACGCCGTGGCTGCTGCTGGGGGGGGGGGGGCCAGCGGAGCGAGAGAAAAAGGAGCAACATGGACCCGAGCAAAATCAGGACCAGAGGGGGCTGATTTGGCAGAGGACTGGTTTGGCAAGGGACGTATTTGGCACAGGAATCAAGGTTTGAAGCCTTTTTTCAAACACAGCTGCTCTGACTCCGACCCCCAGCTTGGGCTGTCTGCGGCACGTCCCGCTCCCGAGATGATCTCGACGCGGCCTACCTGCTCGGCATCCCCCAAGCCACGTAGCTTTTGACGGCAGGGAAAGGCACCAGGCATCCGTCATTTGATGCCAGTAAGCTTTACACGCCCCCTCCTTCCCCTCTGTGATCCCCTGTCCATCAATTATCCTTTCTGCTTCCTCCCGTCGTCGACTATCGGCTGGGAGTGATCCGGGGAGGCAACGGTGCTGCCCGTAAGGTATAAATCCCCCCCATGCCCCCCGTATTTCCCGGCCTTGAATCTTTGGTGTTTCTTCACTCCACATGTTACTCTGGTCAAAGATTGCCTTATCTACCACTTCACCTTGATCCAGCCTATCAGTCATCAAGTCATCTGCAAGCTCTGCAAGCACGACGCAGAATGTCTCTCAACATCACGGCAGCCTCGATGGAAGGGGTCAACCATGGGCCCTACCTCCCGACACCTCCACCCACTCCCGCTGTACCGCCCTCTTCTCCTGCCTCGCCCACTTCTGATGGCCCCAGCGGCCTGCCGACTCCTCCCGACTCTCGCCCCAATTCACCGGAGTCTGGTATCAATGGCCCTACGGCAGCGGCGGCGGCAACCCAGGCGACCGTCTCGGTGGCAGCAAGCCAGGCGATGAGAACTCCTCGCCGCCCAACCGGCGGATCTGTCTACACGCCCGTCCGCAACTTCAGCGGCGCCGGCCAGTTCAAGAGGTGCCTGCGATGCCTCAGGAATGTGCCCCTGAAGTGCATGGCCGACCACATGAAGGTGCACAACATGGAAGGGTCGGGAAGCGTCCTAGTCCCTGAGGCGCGCCGCTGCGCCAACTGCGTCTCCAAGCATCGCGAGTGCCGCGTCAAGTTCAACCCCAGCGAAAAGGGCTGCAACACGATTCGCTGCCGCTGCTGCCTCAAGTACAAGGAGAAATGCGACTTTCGCTCCCGCTACCACGTCAGGCAGGTCAACAAGCTTACTATTCATCCTGCGCTGTAACGGGGACTGGAATGGGGCGAGCGGCGGAGGCTCTGTGCGGTTTGATGTCTGGATGTTTTTTTTTGGAGGCGGGAACATGGTCAGGATACGGTATGGCATGGATAATTTGTATAATGCACAAGCTCTCCTACCTGGCGGGCGATACGCTCAGTAATAAGAATGGAAAGACAATAGAAATAGAATGAAATTCAAATGTTTTCCTACTCACTTTTGCTCCAATGTAAAAGACTCTTGCCATGAGCTTCGTATTTCTCATTTATTGCTGGCTATCTAGGGACTCATTTACCGCTCAGGAGATGCCGAAGGTGAACAAGGCCATGAAATCGCATCGGCGTCGAGAGCCGGTCAAATCCGTCTGGGATAGAGCGGTAGAAGAGAAGGCTGCCGCGGCATCTGCTTGCCTTCATATACCAATGTAGCTGGACGACGGGGTAAATGGAGCTTTGCGGGTACATTGAATATCAATGGCGCAGCTAGAATCCCGTTTATAAGCTCTCTGGGCCATCGCTGTAGGCTAGGAAGGATAAGAGGCGATCTCCCGTGTTGGAGAGAGCCCTCGAAGTGGAGGCACATGCCTTGAACCGGAGACCAGGGGAATCTTTGACTGCTAACCCCAAGCGGGCGGAAAGGTCGTCTGCCATCCTCAAGCCATAAGCCCGGTGCACGCTGTACTGTTACGACCACGGTCATATGGCCGTAGGAGAACCGGCCACGGCCACATGCACGGTCAGCGACCCGGGGTAATGGTTGGACTGAAAGGCCAATCAGGCTTGGCTCACCCGGAACGCCAGTGAGCCAAGTGAGCCTCGTCCTGAAGGATCACCATATACAAGGATGGCTGACACGTGAGCCATGGTGAACCGTGCGCTGGATCACGACTAGAGCAGTGACCTAGGGACTCCCTCTAAAATAAACGTTTAGATTAATTATAATTAAGAAGGATATTTAATTTAACAATCCGCGCTTCTATAAAGTCTTTAAGTATACTTAGGGGGGATAGGAAGTACTAGGGTCTTATCCCTCTAATAGGCTAATATCTATAAGGGGTGCGATCTTACCTATTAAACTCCCTTATAGCGGCTTTCTAACCTAAGATATTAATAGAAAGGGTGTAATAATAATAGGTAAGGGCTCTTATCTTAAGTAAGTAAGTAAAGTAAATAAAACTATTAATAGGACTTTTTCCTTTTATTATAATCCCTTCCTTTTATATTACTTATTCCTCCCTTTACTTACGAGCTACTTATTTAGCTCTTTCTTATCTTTACTTATATACTTCTTTCTTTAAATAATTATCTACTACCCCTTATATACGCTCTTAAGTATTCGCGTTTATTATTCTTAAAGGCGTTAAGGAAATAAAGTAGTTAGCGTCTTTACTAGTCTATAGCTTTAAGTATAGTTAGATTTAATAAGCTATAAAGTCTTATAAACTAATAGTTATTATATTACTAGTAGTCCTATATATATATATAGAGTTATAATTATTAATATCTTAGCGGTAGTTTTAATATATCCTTATATTTTTAACTCCTTTAACCTTAATAGGTTTAAAGCCTAGTATAAACTTTATAGGGACTATAGCTAGAAAAGCTATTACTCTATTTTATTTCTAAGGAGTAATAAGGCGCGCTATAAGTATTACTAGAGTCTTTAGCCTTAGGGTAATCAACCGAGCGCTAGGTAATTTTAAAGTCTTAAGGTAAGTTAATAGCCGCGCTTTTACCTTTCTTCCTTACTAGCTTTTTATTAAGTTACTAGCGGGGGTTTAGTTATAAGTCTTTTACTCTTTTATATAATATATAAAGTCCTTAGTAGTAAGTAAGGAGTAAGCTTGATTAGCTATATATTTAAGAGGGAGAATAAAGGTATTATTTCTATATAAATAAAAAGACTAGTAAAGGCGCTTAGCTTTCTTTTTTAGAAACTCTAAGGTAGGGATACTATCTTAAGGTTATTTAGGAAAAAGCTATTTAGTTTAAATAAAAAGCTTAATTTAGTTAATACTTAAGGTAATAAAAGTCTAAGCTTATTCTTAATTCTTATTAATTTAATTAAGTAGTTAATATTATAAAGTAAGTAAAGGTATATATATAGGTACCGTCTATAGGATAATATTAATAAGCTATATAAAGCTCTTCTATACGCGGCTAGCTTATATATATACGTATAGGATCTAGCCCTCTATATATAACTATATAGCTTAGGCTATAGCCTAAGCCTATAACCTATAATAGTTAAAGACTCTTATATAATACCCTCCCTTAAGCGCGGGGTAGCGCTGCCTTATTAACGGCTTCCGTACTATTAGGCCTATACCGCTAGCTCTACCTAGCCCTTTCCCCGTTAATTATACTAGCCCTACTAGCCCTATTATCCCCGCGCTTATTAGCCTAGGCAGCTATAACCTAGCTCTATACTTATTAGCTAGCTAACTATTTAAATAAGGGTATAACCTATTATATACGCCCTTAGGTAGCCGGCGGCTAGCCCGGACCTATATAAGCCTTAGGTTGCCTATCCCCTTAGCCTTAAGCAGCTTCCTTTACTAAGGGGTATATAAGGCGGTAACCCTCTTTCCTCTTCCCCTTCCTTTTCTTCCTTCTTTAACTATAGTAATAGTAGTAATAAGTAAGTTCTACTCTACTTAAGGCGTTAGTTTATTCCTAGCTATATAGGCCGCTTTATTAATATATATTTATAGTAATAGCTATAGTAGTAATAATAGCCCTAATAATAATAATAACTTTAATTAATAAGTTCCTTGCCTTATAGAGCGGGAGGCTATAATCTATAATACTAACTTCTATAATAGATATATCTACCTCCCCCTCCTTTACCTCTTCTTTCTCGGAGTATATAAAGTCGTTCGTCGACGCTATACTAAGCGTAGCTAACGATAGCTCCGCCGCTGCCGCTGCTCCCGCCCGCGCCGCTACTACCGCGCCTACCGCCGCTACTAATGCCTCCGCTACGCTAGCCGCTCTTACGTTGCCCTTTAGGGTAATAACGCCGTCCCCGCCGCTACCTATAACGCCTGGCCCCTCGGCCCCTACCTCTATCTCCGCTACCCCTATAAGTCTATAATTAAGTAAGCGTAATAGATATCTTCCGCTAACCTCTTAAAGTATAAGCGCTAGGTCTAGGCCGGAGCCGCTTACGCGGCCCCCTATATACGGTATATATCGTAGGAGCTCCCTTACGCCGACTAAGTTAGGCGCCGCTACGGCGGTAGTTATTACTAGTATATATATGCCGGCCGCGCTTATAAGGCGGCGCCTCCTATCCTACTCGCTACGGCGTTAGCTTAGAAGGCCGGCGCGCACGGGTAGGTATAGGGGGCTACTAAGAAGCGCCTTACCGCTGCCGTAGCCGCCTACTATAACCTCCGCGCCTTAGAGCGCTAAGGGCTTATCCCTAAGTAGGTTCTTCCCCCTCCGCTCTCCTACCTCCGCTACTAACTCTCCCGGTACTAGGGATACCGCCGCCGCCGCCGCTAATAAGTAAGAGGAGGCTAACGAGGATAATAATAATAATAATAATAATAATAAAGGTAATAATAATAATAAGGAATAGGCCTAGGTAGTTTAAGGGCTCTACCTTATAATAAACGCTATTTTTATCTCTACTTATACTATTACGCCTATATTACTATAACTACCTCCTTTATTTTACTTACTTTATAGTCTTAGCTTAAGGTACTACTAGTAGTTTATTAGTTTATTATTCTTATTTATTAGTTTATATAAGGCCTCGAACTTATTAAGGGCTATAGCTCTTATAAACTTATATATAGGTTCTTATATTAAGTTAAGGTACCCGCGCTACTTTATAAGGACCTCTTAGCGATTCCCTTAGCTAACCTTCTTTTAGCGTATAGCTTATATCTCTTTAACCTCGAATTTATTATCCCTTTTTACCTTAATAGCGGGCGGTTAAGCGTTTACTACTTCTTATTTAAGTAGCGGGTTAAAGAAGGCTTAGTAAAGGAGGTTAACGTTAATCTTATTATAGACCCCCGTTAAAAGACTATCGAGCTTAACTACCTATAGGCTAATAACCCTTTATACTATAAACTTTATATATAGCTAGTCTAGCTTTTTCTTTAGCCGCGCTAACCTATAGTTATAGAGGTTAAGCTATACCTTATCTCTTACTATAAACCTATCTACTAAGGCCTTAGTCTTATTAGTATATTACTCTTAATCTTATACTAAGGCGGCTATCGCGGATTAATAGTATTCTATAGTTTCCTATAGCTTTTATATAAACGTAAAGGCGCGGCTCTTTAGTAACGAACTACTATATTACTCTACTACTATATCTATAGCGAATAGGATTAAAGAGGGCGGCTTAAAGCTATATATAGTAAAGAAGGGGGCTATTTTAATAAAGGTCTAAGGTCTACTATTTAATGCGAGCTAGGCTATAAGGAGCTAGCGGTCTTAGTCTACTTAGTTATAGGCTACTACTACTTATAAGTATACCTATGCTTCTTAGTTAACCCTCTTAGGTCCCTTATTAGTCTATAAGTAATAAGCTATACTAAGTAGCTATATAATTTAAAGTAGCTAGTATAGGTACTATTAAAAGCGGCTAGTTTAGTTTAATCCTTTATTACTTATAATAAAGGTCGGCTAGCTATATAATTAGGCCTAGTACTAAAGAAAGCGCTCTATATAAGCTTTTATATCTATAAATAGTATTAGCTTTAGTATTATTAATTTACTAAGCTAGTCTTTAATTACCTATATATAGCGGTTACCTCCTTTTATAAGTAGAAGGTCTATTATAAAGTCTATTTATATATATATATAGAACCGGTTAAGTACTAAAAGCTACTTAAGTAGCCCTTTAAGCTACGCCCTTTAAATCTTAGTATAGCTATAAATATTATAGTTATAAAAGAAGCAGCGAATATAGTATTATAAGAGGGGCTAGTAAAAATCCCTTACGAGGCCTACTACTATACCCTACCGACCTAAGTAGCCTATAATACT